ATATATATACATATACATATACATATACATATACATATATATACATATATATATATATATTGAATTCAGTTCAGCCTCAGTTTGTCCTAACTTGATCATAGACTTATTTTCCTAATTTAAAATAATATTCAATCTATTTAGCAAAAGGTTGTTCTCTCTCTCTCTCTCCACCATAACTCCAGTTTCTCCACCTCAGTCCCCTTCAGACACCTTTTCACAACTGTTCTGATTAAGCTGTGACATCTCCAGTTGTCAACCTTTACATTTCTCAAATGGCCACATCACATTTGCACTACACTCTAGATATTAGCCATAATCTAATTTTTTATTTCTGAAAAAAAATCACATAATTCCTTTTCTAGACCCCTTTCAGGCTGTTGTAGATACTCAGTGACTCAGTGACAGACTGAAAATCTGAAACCGAAATCTGCACAATTAGTGTTATACTTTTGAATTGGAGTCAAGGGGCACCTGGGTGGCTCAGTCAGTTAAGCATCCGACTTCAGCTCAGGTCATGATCTCACAGTTTGTGAGTTCGAGCCCTGCTTTGGGCTCTCTGCTGTCAGCACAGAACCTGCTTGGGATCCTCTGTCCCCCCTTCTCTCTGCCCCTCCCCTGCTAGTTCTCTCTCTCTAAATAAATAAATAAACTTAAAAAAAATGAATTGGAGTCAAAATCAAGTTCAGAGCTGGCACGTGTAGCAGGTAAAAAGAGGCCGGCACTGCTTTGGCGTTACCCTCTGTGGGCCTGTGTCTGCAGCCCCAAATCCCTGTATTTATTTGTCAAGGTGCTGCACTTTAATAATAAATCAATGGAAAAACAAAGGCCCTGAGCTCCTTCTGGAACAAAATGCTACAGGTACAGTAGTAAAAAGTCCTGCCAGCCCCAGATGAGATGTGACTTTCTGAGGAAAGTGGATAATTTTTACTTGATGGTGAATCGTTAAAAGTGAGCCAGATGATTAAACTTAATGGAACAGCCACATTAAACTGAAATTAGTAAAAACATGCCTCGGGCAGCCTACAACCTTTTATTTGTTGTTGTTTAACTTCTGCCTTTTACAGTGGCCATGATGAATGACATCACAAAAGAAAAAATCCAATTAAAATCTAAGTGCTCAATAAACCCCTAATGTCTGGTTGCCACCATCACTTTCACTAGCACTGATGTCTCATGTTTCCTCTTTTCCCCAAGAAGAGAGAAAAGAACTGGCCCCGGGGGAGGTGCGTGGAAGGAGGGGCAAGCGGGGAAAGAGCACACAAAGGCTTCCGGAGGTTTCTGCTCCGTGTACTGTATCAGACACAGGCACTGCACCTCGAGGGGGATGAGGCTAAATTGTTTTATTATCAGACAAGGCCTGAGTAAAGAGATGCATTTTCCCACCAGTTTTCAAACGTTGATAAATCAGAATGGGGATCTGCAGAGCAATCCTGTTCATACTCTTCGTTGGCGTCTCTGCTGCCCTTTTATATCGTCTCGGGTGTTTGTTCCATAAGTCATCGCAATGGTCTCTCCTGACAGCTAAAAATAAGTTTCTGATTACTTTTACCTGAATAAATCTTGTGACCAGATGTGGTCTTCACCTACTAAGTGTGCAACAATTACATATCGAGAGTGATGAAAGAACCAGCCGAGGGGCGTCTACAATCTAGTGGGATGCAGAATACAATGTATCACATGGGAAGACAGCGACTGCCACCGGTAGAAGAATACTAGCTTTGGATGACAGATTTTACCTTAGAGATACTATGGGTTTATAAAATTGGGTTTTCAAAGTCCTCACAACAAAGTTCTCAAAGTCAAAATAAGAGCCAAAGCATGCTTATTTTGAATGAGGAGCTAATAGGAACGGTATCTTAAAATGTGCTCTTACTCCATGTTCGCATAGGAATTAACGTAGTATTTGTACGTAGTCTCTAATCAGATCTTCATGATAGCCTGGTCCTGTGGTTCTATTATCCTCATTTTATTGATAAGGATCTTGGCTCAGCGAGGTTAATTGATGCTGCCATGATCTTACACTTGGTGAACGAGAGAGAATGAGCACAACTCCTATTTGGAACTCTGGTGCGGTTCCCGCCCCCCACCCCCTCACCCAGTGCCGGGTTTGCTAACCATGGCTGCCCAGAAGCCAGATCCAATGGGCGGTGATGTTGGTTTCATTACTCATGAGTTAATGAAATAGCCTTTTAAAAGCTCTCTTCAGTCATTAGGATTTGACGATGGAGAGTTAAACTTTCCCCAGTGGCTCTTTCTGTGTAATCACGGTTTCAGCGTTTCCTTAGCATATCACATTACACAAATCATGGAGTCCTCTTTTGTTTTACATTTCTTATTGCGTTTGTCTCACTTCTAAGCAATTTCCTCCCCGTTCCCATTCATCTTCCATTATTTCTGCCAAATTGCTTTCAAGGCTACTAATTGTATGAATAATATTCTCTTCCTCAAACTCTGCTGTTAACTAGCATTAGCTGTGTGGCTTTGGACACAGTTTCCCTATCTCTAAAAACAAGGAGGTTGCACTGAATAACCTGTAGGGCCTCTTCTTGTGCTCAAGTTCTAATCTTCTGACTCTTTCACACAAGGTGTATGATTTTGGAAACACTACATAAACCAGAGTGTTAATTTTCTTGATTCTGCTATGATGGATTCAATTAGTTCATGCTTCCCAGAGTGTGTCTCTTAGAAAATTGTTCTTGGGAATGCCAACACCCACAAAGGATTCTTTGCGCAAGAACATTCGGGAAAGCTAGTTTGTTTTTTTGTTTTTTTTTTTTAAGTGATTATTTATTTATTTTGAAAGAGACATAGAAAGTCAGCAGAGGAGGGGCAGAGAGAGAAGGGAGACAGACCCTGATGCAGGTTCAAGCCCACGAACCATGAGATCATGACCTAAGCCGAAATCAAAAGTCAGATGCTCACCTGACTGAGCCACCCAGGAGCCCCCGGGAAAGCTAGATTAAATACAGTCAAGTACAGTTTTAAACTGGAGGCAGTGACAGTCTTTAATATGTTAATGTACACTGGGTGACTCCTAAGAAAAAGGCAGAAAAACGAAGTAATCCCCAAACATATGGGGCCACAGAACCCCTTCTCAGCATTTTAGATAATTGATATTCCATGGGATATCATTTTTTAGAAAGGCTGGGTTCGCTTATTTTAAAAGTCCCTTTTGCCTTGAGAGTTTGTTTTCAAATGTGGTTATAGACACTATTCTGAGCATTTCGTATAGTATTCATCAACAGGACACAGAGTTGGCTTACCTGTTGCTGTTGTTGCCATAACTGTTGTAACATAGCCTATACTATGTTTAGACAGAGTTGAAATAAGGTAGAGCTTAGCTACCTTACCAATAAACTATCTTGTCTGTATGCAGCTAATACTTATAACTGGTCTTTTCAAATAGATCTCCTCAATTTTAATTTTTGAAAATTTGTGAATAGAGTTAGCTTATCTGAAGACCTAGGAAAAATACCTTCTAAACTTTTACTAAGGTGGGAAAAAGGGACCCAAAGACACAACAGAAACTCAAAGCTCTGGAAATCTTCTCTGGGATAGGCAACACAGGCGAGTTCTCCAAGTTAGAATGATTATCTTTCACTTCAATGGTATACTAGCACTCATTTAATTCAACCTTTAACCTGACCCATTTCACTGACAGTTAATCTTTTTTTAATGTTTATTTATTTATTTTGAGAGAGACAGAGAGAGTGTGAGTGGGGGAGGGGCAGAGAGTGAGGGAGAGAGAATCCCAAGCAGGCTCCTCACTGCCAGGGCAGAGTCCGATGTGGGGCTCAGTCTCACAAGTCATGAGATCATGACCTGACTGATCGACTGAGCCACCCAGGTGCCCCTCACTGATGGTTTATCTTATCAGAGCCTCCACTTGATTACCTTCAGGAGAAGGGAACCCACTATTTTATAAAGCAGATTATTCCATTTTAGTCTGGCTCCACTTTTTAGAAGATCCTCTCCTATATTAAATGAAAATCTGGGTATTAAATGTTCTTGTTCTAAGTGCCCTTGTAAATTATCTAGTAAAGGGATTTTCAAGGCATTGTTCATGGCAACACTTAAGATGTTTCTCAAATGCTTTGAGTTGAATTTCATAAGTAATTAAATAAATATCACATCTTCCCAGAAAAGTGATTATAAACTCCATCATAAGAAACTCAATGAGATTGAGTAGCTTCCCTAAATTCACCAAGATAGCAAAGTATAGAGTCAGAATGTACCCCGGTCTCTCTGTTTCAAAAACCAAAATCCTTAGGGCTCCTGGGTGGCTCAGTGGATTAAGCGTCCAACTCTTGCTTTCAGCTCAGGTCATGATCTCACAGTTCATGAGACTGAGGCCCAAGCTGGGCTGTGCGCTGACAGTGGGGAGCCTGTTCGGAATTCTCTCTCTCCTTCTCTCTCTGCTCCTCCCCCACTCACACTTTCTCTGTCGCTCTCAAAATAAATAAACTTAAAAAAAAAAGATTCTCTCTCTCTCTCCCTCCCCCTCTGCCCCTCTCCCCTGAGCACACGCGCTTTCTCTCTCTAAAAAAAAACAAAAACAAAACAAAAACAAAATTATTTTCTCCATAGCATGTCACTTCTCTAGTATGTCCGGATACATAAAAGTGAACAGTAGAGTGTATTTGTAGAATCTGAATGCTATGGTGAAAATAGGAAAGTAGTGAAAAGAGTTTCATTCCAACCAGGTTAATACGTCCTTAGGCATTTTGCTATTACTCTGGACTTCAGTGTTCCCTTCTTCAAAACAAGGATTACTACATTTTCTACAAGCTCTGTTCCAGTTCTAGAAATTTCTATGATTATAAGGAAACATATTTATTAATGAATGACATTACTATTGAGGATTTAAGTAAACAATAAGAAAAAAAAAAAACCCTCAAAGCTGCCTCCCTCAGAAAGGAATGAATAAAAGTTAACAAGACAAACAGTTTAGAATCACATGCTTGACTTTTACTTTCTTTAATTTTTTTTTTCTACACTAGTTACATTCAGACCAGGATAGAGGAGATGGATCACTTAAATATATCCTTTCAGGAGATGGAGCAGGAGATCTCTTCATTATCAATGAAAACACAGGAGACATACAGGCCACCAAGAGGCTGGACAGGGAAGAAAAACCTGTTTACATCCTTCGAGCTCAAGCTATAAACCGAAGGACAGGGAGACCTGTGGAGCCCGAATCTGAATTCATCATCAAGATCCATGACATCAACGACAATGAACCAATATTTACCAAGGATGTTTACACGGCCACTGTTCCCGAAATGTCTGATGTTGGTGAGTGAGATGTGATTTCAACCACATGATGTCTCTCCTCTAGTATGTCAACTGAATAAAGAATCCTAGGAGTGAAATTTACTGAGGTGAATGAATGTAGATGCTAAATTCTAAAACTATCATATTTCAAACAATGCCTTTATGACAAGTATACCTGTTTCCGAATATTACTCTAGTCTCATTTTATTATAAGAAAACAGCATTTCCTCTAATGATGAAGGGATGAAAAAATGTCAGGCAAGAACAGGAGGAAGAAAGAGATATCATCTCATCTACTTCCTGCCTCCCCAGGTGCCCACCCTGGTCCTCAGGCTGAGAGACAGCAGCCCTCTCCACCTCTCTTAGCACATATTGGTACTTGGCTTGAGGTTAGGATCTCTCCAGTGTGAAACAAAAGCCTGAGTTTACATTCCAGACTGGAGAGTAATGACAGTTGCTTTAAGTAAATATGTGTTTGGGAAAGAGACTCAAAGAAAACTTAAAAAAAAAATCCATAATTATGCAGGGGTTGTTTAGGGGATGTATCCTTTACTAAGTGATGGAAATTAAGAGATTTTCATGACACTAATATGATGAATTAATATTTTGTGCACAATTCTACTACCAATTTTAAAGTTAATATGTATGCTTCTAATTTGCTTAAATTGGGAGGTCAACACAATTTAAATTTTAAAAAATCCTACTGACATCACTCTTAGCCGTATTAAAATACTTAATGGGAAACAGTGACAAATTTTAAGCTACCTGAATAAAGGGTTATTTTTATTTTCATTCGGTGTCAAATTCAAAAGGGCTAAATTACTTAATAATAACTCTTCTATAATTCTATGAGTCAGATATCAGAGGCATTTTAGGTCACAGTTCCAAGACTTAGAAAAATCTAATCCATGGAAATGATTGTAAACCATCTAAATCTTTCTCATCAAGAAGCTGCTCGTCTCATTACTTAAAACCACTTTGTTTCATCAGAAAAATCACAAACCATCAGCCAAGCAAAAGAGAGGGATTAAAACTCTTTTAAGAGGAAGATTTGTTAGGAAAAAATATTTTTCCTCTATGTGGTAAAAGTAAGGAACAATTAATAAGCAATAGTCTCAACATCAGCACCACCCAGCAAAACAGTTTCCAGAAAACAAAATTTGATGTGCAAGGTGTCACCCCCACAACTATAGAGGGTGCCATTCACTTTTGAACTATGTTAGAATTAAGTATGTATTATAAATATCTGGGGGCAGCTGGACGTAACATGTCTTAAGAAAGGGAAGGCTCTTTCTAATTTGCACACAGGTACAGTTATGTTCATATTAACCATTATCATAAATGAACACGTCATTATTATCATACAAAAAGGCATCTTAATCCTACATTACAAAGTGGGATAGCAGCATGGTGGTATAAATGGGCTTTGGGTGTCAAACAGACCTGAATTTGAAACTCTACTAATAAGCAGCATCTTGATGTCTCTGATCCTTCAGTTTCATATCTACAAAAAATAAATAATAACTGTCAACAGCTAAGGATTACCATGAGGATGAAATAAGAAAACAAGGACAGAGCCCCCAGTACAATATCTGACAACTAACAGGTGCTCAAAACATCTAGATAATCATATTGTAAAAGCATTCAAATTTTATATTGATGTCAAGTAAGAATGTGGGTGCTAGTTAACTACTATTAGCTCTTGCTCTGAGGTCATATAGTGCTTTGTCCCCAACTTCCTTCCCAAATTACAAGGATGGGTGTTCGATCTCATGCACCAACATGTTACATCCAGAGCATCCACCACAGTACAATATATTTGTTCAACAAACGGGATTGGTTAGATATTACAAAAGCAATGTAAAACTTCTAATATTCCCTGAACGTAACTTCCCTGTCCTTCCCATGGACAGGAGAACTCCAACAGTATGCTTACTGTTTATCTGATATGAATATCAAAAGTCAGCCATAAGATGATCTTCATCAGAGTAAGGTCTTACCCTTTTTTGGAAGTCACAGATCTCTTTGAGAATCCAATAAAATCTATGGATCTTCTCTTCAGTGAAATAAACATGTAAGCATACACATAAAAATCTGTGTGGAATTTCACGGGGGTCAGGAATATTTTGAAGGTTATTCGGTGACTGCAGTCCTTAAAACAAGAATGCTGATCTAAAACATCATTGCCTTCTCTGTGCATGTAATTATAATAATTTTTTTGGAGTTACAGTTTCCAGATGTGAATTTTCTAGTATTCTAATAATTCTTTAATCCAACACTACCTCTTTTAAGTTTCAAGATCTTTCAAACTCTTAGAATTATCAGATAGATTTATCATTTAGGATGCTTTTATTGAACAGAAAACCCAACTCAAACTAGTTTAAACAAATAAAAGTATTTAGTGACTTAAGTCATACTTAGGTCAAAAATAAAATGGGCTTTTGAGATGGTTTGATTTGGGTTCAATTATTTCTCTGAAATTTTCTGTCATATTCAGCGTTGTCCTCAGGCTGGCATCTCTGAGGTCACAAAATAGCTGCTGCATTGACAGGCCCTACATCAGCACATTACAGTCCAGGAGAAAGAGCACTCATGACACAGAATTCCCAAGAAAATCTCAAGTGGCCTCATGATTGGACAACCCCAAAACTAATCACTGTAGATAAAGCAATGCAAGATGCTGATTGACTTAGGTCTGGATAACTTCAAAGAATGACTATAGCAAGAGTCCAATCAAATCTCATCTTTGGACATTAGTTGAAATTGGTTCCACCCAAGGTCATGGTTATCCCATGCTTCTCTTTAACCTAACCCTTACAACATTTATAAATGTTGATCACACTCTTTCAGAATGAGAAGCCAAAGGCTTTTAAAGAAATTTTTAATGTTTATTTATATTGGAGAGAGAGAGAAAGAAACTGAGTGCAAGCAGAAGAGGGGCAGAGAGAGAGGGAGACAGAACCTGAAGCAGACTCCAAGCTGTCAGCACAGAGCCTGATGTGGGGATTTGAACTCACCAGCGGTGAGATCCTGACCTGAACCAGTCGGACGCCTAACCCACTGAACCACCCAGGCGTCCCGATAAATCCAAGGCTTTTTAACCCTAGTATCATCCTGAAATTCTCAACTCCTTTGTCAAGATACTTTTGTACAGAAGTAAGATCACGCTTTCTCTATCTGTGTGTGCATCAAGGATCTACATGGGTCCTTGATTTATTTTCAATTCATGTTTCTGTCATTACAGGCACATTTGTTGTCCAAGTCACCGCAACTGATGCTGATGATCCAACTTATGGCAACAGTGCTAAAGTTGTGTATAGTATCCTACAGGGGCAGCCCTATTTTTCAGTTGAATCGGAAACAGGTTAGAATTTCTTTTTGATCTTCTTTTTACAATCCATAATTTTAATTGATTTAATAAAAACAATTTATTAAAAAAACAATCAGTGTAATTGAATATTCTTAGATTCATCTGCCAAATTTCACCAGCAATATATTTGTAAACATGATATCCAGATCATTTTAATTCAGAAATCTGACAATGGATGTTTCATCCATTTTACTTATATAGGGTAAATTCAGAAAACTTATACAATGTCAGTTTTTTCTTCCAGTTTGGAGTGAACCTAAAAACAAATACCTCCTGATAGCCATTAGGGCTATTTACAAATATTCCAATTCTTCTTTTACTAGTTATTTGGCATCTCTCTACCCTGCTCTAAAGGTAGATATAGCCATGAGATTTGTTTGGGCCGGTATATGTGGCAATGATTCAAGTCACTTCCACGCCGCACTTTTGGACCTGGTGCACAATCCACATTCCTTTCCTCCTGCCACAGTGATCATAGATGGAAACAAATGTTGGCCTTGGTCTCCAGCCTGGATGTCTGTTACTATCAGCAGAGCTTCTTGCTGGCCTCCTCAGAGCATGAGCAAAAAATTAACGTTAGCTGTGTTAAGCCAGTAAGATTTTATTATGACATTGTCTAGCTCGTGCTGATAGCATCCTAATAAACAAAGTGGATTCCTTAATGGAATTCTTTTTTTAACACCTCATCTTTCTGCATTTTATCCACAAAGTAGCATACTATCTTCTGATGAATTGTTTCTTAGGAAATATTGTCTGTGCTGTACGGTAAATTCTACACATATTTTTGCTATCATAATAGGAGTTGAATTCCTTTTCTACATTTCCCAAGCATCCATTATTGTGAGTAGAAATCAAAACTTTTCTAGGTTACCACATCCAGTTGGAAATTTATGTGTTAAGAGGTGCAACGAACTTGGAAAGAATCCCAAGGAGAAAGAAAATGTTGAGTTGAAAAACAATGAGGGTGAAAAATTAGAAATATTCAACGTAAAGGACAAAGGCTAAGGTGATCTCCTCTATTTAGAGAAGTCCTGTTATTGGAGAACAGACACAGCTGCACTTTCACTGAAGCCAGGACTATAGGAATAAAACTGACCTGTTGTCTGAGGTGTTCGTGTTAAAAATAAAAGAAAAAAAAGATATTTTCAGCTTCATTAGTTGTTAAGCACTGGAATGTGCTACGAGAGAAGGCTATAAAGCCTTTAAAGCCTTGAAAGCCTTTAAAGCCTATAAAGATTTTTGAAAGAATGTTGTTAATTTAAGCATAAAGCCTACACAGAGATTAGGCAAACTTTTAGAAGTTCTTTCAACTACTTATTTTATAACTACTGAACAACAGAGATAAAATTAACCTAACATAAGAATGAATGTTGGTCGCTGCTGGGACCAGTTGAACTAATGCTCACATCAGCTTTAGGAAAACTTAAGTTCTCTAGGATCATACAGGATGATAATTATGGGAGAAATGAGCTGTGTTTTCTTCAGACCATAGTTTGTGACTTAGAAAATCCTCTGAACATTCATTACGGGAGGTATATTTGATGAGCAGTTAGCTGATTCAGTAAAGTAAAGCTCAAGAGTCAGTTCAAGGAAATGACTTCCTTAGCAATTTCCTCATAGTACACTTAAATGTCTTTTATCAAGCAGCTATGGTAGTATAACACTGTACCACATGCCAAGTTATATTTTGCTACGTTATCTTATAACACATGATATTTATACTACCTACAATCTATACTATTACAGATTTGACTTGTACTTAATTCTTGAATCATAGGTGTTTTTAAAATATATCTATCTCCCCTATGTGGTTATAATTTCCTTCAGTATAAAGGCTATCTATAATCATCTTTATGTCACCTATTACATTATAGTGTTTGAGTATTGTGGATGACATCTACGTTTGCATAAATAAATGATTTGATAAAGTATTTTTAATACATCCCTTTCCATTTCTGAATTTCGCATCCATAGGTATCATCAAGACAGCTTTGCTCAACATGGATCGAGAAAACAGAGAGCAGTACCAAGTGGTGATTCAAGCCAAGGATATGGGTGGCCAGATGGGGGGATTATCTGGGACCACCACGGTGAACATCACGCTAACTGATGTCAACGACAACCCTCCCCGGTTTCCCCAGAGTAGGAACATTTGATTGAATGAATTTCTTCAGTGCACTTTTATAAAACTCTAACTTTAAGAATGATATTTATTTTCCATTGTTATTAATTATCAATATTAATGAACTTAAGAATAACCATACTTTTAGTAGTTGAATGATTTATAATATGGTGATAGTTGTAAAGGTAACACCATTGTTTTATTTTTCCTTATTAAAAAGACTACCACAGACATAAATTTGCTTGTGCAGAACATATGTATACAAGAATGCTCCTATTTGTAAGAAAAAAAAATTGACTTTATGTTTTGTGAATTTAATCAGTCACTTAATCTCTTTTAAATCCCCACAAAGCTTTATAAGGGAGGATTTATCATTTAACTGTTTCTAAAAATACAACTGGGGAAATAACCATGTACTTAATCCATTTGTAATCATAAATAGTTTTCTATATTATGGTTAATTGAGATACCAAAAAAATCATCACTATAATCAATAACTCCCATGGCTAGATAGGAAAAAAAGAAGGAAAAACAACATTCTTAAATGCCTGCTTTGTATCAAGCAATATACTAGAGCCCTTCATACAAAGCTCTTGAAAGAGGATACTGGTTTTAATGTAATTTTTCTTCCAAGAACAAAATTCTTTTCTGACCATGATCTAAGAAAACTACCTAAATCCTGTCTTCCAGGAGAAAATAGCTGCCCACCATTAAAAAGAAAGCCCACCTTACCCAAACATGGCATATCTTTCCCAATGCTGCCTCACATGGGCTTCTTTTATAATAGAGATACACATGGATCAACCAGAACTGTTACATTTTCTTTAATTTTTTTCAAGTATTTACTCATAGCTAAATGCAAAAAAAAAAAAACAAAAACAAAACAAAAACTAATTTCTGATGTAACGGGTAGAAGATAGGCTTTACTGGCCCTAAATTTTTTTCCCACAGACGCCTGAAATGACAATATCAGAATTAGCAATACTTCGCCCCAAAACCTCCTTTTCAATATGGGAATTCCCTGGGGAAGGATAACAAAAGGATTCATCAGCACTTAAATACCACAGGGACCCTACCTCACTTTGCTCTCTCCGTGGATAGCTTGGGATCATTACTGAATACTATACCAAAGCACAGGAGAGAAGAATAACTCTAGAGGAAAAACTTGGCTTGTTTATCATTTTGCCAAGGATGAGCCCAACACTTAATGGGCTATGATTGAATATGACTGAATGACTATATTTTAGTGATATTTAGTGATATTTAGTCATAGTCTGTTTTTTTCCAAAATAATTTGCACAGATAGTTGGCAAAATGTAATGGGTGAGAGGAAAATGAGTTTTGTTCTGACACTTTTTTGTCGTTATGGTCCTAAGTACATGCTAGTCTGGCGGATCTAAATTGAAAGCCACATGCAGTCTCCTTAAACTAATTTTGCAACATGAGGACATCGGGAAAGTGTACATTTATGAAATATAGGTTTTAAATCAACAACACAAATACAAGAATGGGAGAAACCTACGCATAGAAAAAGTACTGTAATGAAATTTAAAAGAAAGATTACTTAAAGAAACTATTAGGAGCTTTCTCTCTCAATGTGTCCATCTGTATCCCTAACCGCAGCCAGACCAGCTCCATGTATGGGTGAGAGTGTCTACTTGGATACATTCTCCAGATCGCTGTCATTTATTTTCACCTTCAGTTATTATTAGCAAAGACACAAAGAACCCTTTTAAGAAATACCTCGTAATTGGCTTAAAGTCATAGTTCAGGTTAAATTCTTTTCCGTTCTTTCTGCTAGATGAGTTAACAGGGGCTTGAAACCTTCTGCACCCTTCTCTAGCAGCTTAGTCTTTCTCGCCATCATACCATGAACCTGGAGACCTATTTACAGGACAAGAAAAGTGTTCTCCATTTGCAAAGAGACGGGTCATGACAGAAGAAATATTCTTAGCAATCATGAAAGTAAGGATGTAAGGAGAATAGAGTGCCATTAATTATTGCAAGGAAAGTACAAACCTGCCTGCATCCCTAGTAATGTCTGAAAGAACTGTTAGAAAATGGGGTTTGTCTTTATTGTGATAGAGTATCCTTCATCTGTGTTTGACTTATATCTGTCTGGTGATTAATAGGTACATACCAGTTTAAAACCCCTGAATCTTCTCCACCGGGTACACCAATTGGCAGGATCAAAGCCAGCGACGCTGACATGGGAGAAAACGCCGAAATTGAGTACAGCATTACAGAGGGAGAAGGGCTGGACATGTTCGATGTCGTCACCGACCAAGAAACTCAGGAAGGAGTTATTACTGTCAAAAAGGTAATGCCGTTTGTTAAATACCATACAAACGAGCACATTCACTTCTCTCTAGTCCTCGAGTAACCGAGACAATTATATCTCACATGAACATTCCTCTAGATTCTTGTTTTACTAATTATTTTTTTTAATGCCAAGTCTAATGGTTGGCTTTTAGAGGTCCTCAATAATCTGATTCATTCATTCATTTATTTCATGCTTTTAATAAATTTTTATTAAGAACCTCCTAATAAGTAAATAAATGATAGAAATAAATGATGTACATTAAAGTACATAAAGTAAATATAGTCAATGAATAATAGACAGTGTTAGGCACTCTTCAAGATGCGGGAGGTGCAATGGTACATTCAACAGAATGGTGTCCGCTCTCACGGAACTGCCAATCTAAGGGAGAAAAGAGACAAGGAAGCAAATAAACAAAACAAATGTGTAACTAAATTCTGATACATGCTTTGAAGGAAAAGAGTAATGCAAGCAGTGATAAAGGTAGCCTGAATTAAAGACAGGATATAAAAAGACCACAGAAATAAATTAAATAACACAAATCTCCCATGAGCTGTTTAGCTACTTTTTGGAACACAATAATAAATTTTTTATATTTCTGAATTCCAATTTTTGTCCTATGTACTTATTCACTATTTACCCCCCCCCAAATTGTCTAGCATCACAGAGCAGTACACAGAAGTGTGGCAAAAATTTAAAACCAATAAACTGTGTGCTTCAAAGCTAAAAATTGTTATTTTTGGTGAGTTTTTTTAATAACTGCATTTTTATCATGTATGATATAACATTTTCTCTCTCCTTTAGCATACTTGCTGGTAAAAATAAGCACAGGTAGATGTAAATAACAAGAAAATCCTTTCCTCTTAAGCTTTGAATTACATGTCTTAATACCTGGAAACACAATAAAACATGTTTAAGCGACATCCAGACCAATGTTTTATACTATAATATAATTAGGAAGCCCATTAGTGTGCATTAACCTTTTTAATTTTCTTAGTGCCTTATCAGATTCAAACTGAAATTTTGCCTAGCCGACTAAATCACTTTCACTAATGTCTTGATTAATTGTGTTTCTAGTGAGCCTTGTCATATCATCATCTAAAACTAAAAGTCAGCAATAAGCATTTGGGTTCACTATGTCTCCAGAAGCAGAGATACTTTTTCTAAAGACCTCTGACAACAATGATCATTACTTTCGTTGGCAAGTAATTAGCCCAATGCCCTTATCAGGATATCACTTGGAATATTTTATCAACTCAGGCACATGCAAAAAAAAAAAAACATATTAAATCTATTTTATCTGAATGAGGAAGAGGAAGTCATGATGCAAACTTGTGGTTCTCAATTCTGGCTGCACATTAGAATCACTGGGGGAGGTAAAAGTATAGATTCCCACCCCCACCTCAGATATTTTGGTTTAATGATCCAGGGTGGGGTCCAGATACTGGCAAATTTTTTTTTTAAAAAGTTTTTTTTAATGTTTATTCATTTTTTAGAGACAGAGAGAGACAGAGCGTGAGGGGGGTGGAGGGGAAGAGATAGAGGGAGACACAGACTCTGAAGCAGGCTCCAGACTCTGAGGTGTCAGCACAGAGCCTGACATGGGGCTCAAACTCACAAACCGTGAGATCATGACCTGAGCTGAAGTTGGAAGCCTAACCAACTGAGCCATCCAGGTGCCCCAATACCAGCAAATTTTAAACACTCATTAAGTATTCAATCAAAGTCAGATTTGCCAATTTGCCCCTAACATGGCTCCCTCTAGTCAAATACAAGAATTTTCTTTACAGGGGGTCCTTTTTTATACAAGACTCCTGCTTCCAGGTTCTCTTCCCTGTCCGTTATACCTTGCACCCTTGCACCCACTTTCAAGGCAATAGTGGGCATGGTTTCAGCCCACAATTTTCATCAGGATGGTGTGGCATCTCATGCCTTTGCCCAATATCACACTGTGTGGTGATGTCTCTAAGCAATATAACCACATTCACTACCCATGATTTGCACTAAAAATGCCTTATGTCTCGTCTTTCTGTGTCTTGGCTGCTTTAAATATGTCTCTTCTCCCCACCCACCCCAAGGTCTTGGACTTTGAAAAGAAGAAAGTGTACACCCTCAAAGTGGAAGCCTCCAATCCTCATGTTGAACCCCGCTTTCTCTACCTGGGTCCATTCAAAGATGCAGCTACGGTCAGAATCATGGTGGAAGATGTGGATGAGCCTCCTGTCTTCAGCAAACTGGCCTACATCCTACAAATAAGAGAAGATGCTCAGATAAACACAACCATAGGCTCAGTCACAGCCCAAGATCCTGATGCTGCCAGGAATCCTGTCAAGTAAGCACACTTCTGAGACATGTCTTTTTCATAAACTTCAGTTGATTGCTATTCAAGTATCACCTGCAAGTTAGAAAATTAATGCTTTCTTCCAATTAGATATTTGTATCTTCCTGAAAAACGACTCTAAACAGCATCTTTACTCTCCTTGCTCAACAATTATTTTAGCAGCAGCATAAGCCTAAAAAAACCCCACAAAATTGGCGGGGGGGACACAAAATGATCTATAGGAGCTTACTGCTTACATGAAAATGGTATAAGGCAATAGAACAGAATGGCCTGGAATTTTTCTTGAAGGTCTTAGATTTGTCAAACAGTGGCATGGAGAGAGCATTGTGATTTTTAATAAACAAGACACCAGGCCAATAGTCTGTTTTTCAAGTGTGGAAGAATCTATCCTGTAACACTTAGAGGCAGAATTACACTCCATTTGGACGTGTAATTATTTTCATTTTCAGACATGGATAAAAATAAGAATCATTTCATGATATATGTCTGCAAAATCCTGGGGAAATTAATAGAGCTGAATCCTAATTTATACTATGTAAGCGAGCTCTATTTTCCCCATACATTCCTAATACCTTAGCTGTAAATCATGCTGCAAGAAAACCTCATTGCTCTTTGAAATCACAGATGCTTCAGTATTCTAGAATTTTATCATGAAGGCACTGGAGTCAACAACTTCCAGGCTTTAGTCAGTAGCTTACTTGACTAGATGAGAAAACTGCTAAATAAGAATATTATTGTGTAAATTATCCCCTGTAAAAAAAAAAAAAGAAAGTAAGTAGACTAGAGGAACTCTTGCCAGTGAGCCCACAGATATATTCTGATCAGGGTACCTGCCTTATGCCAGGCATGTTCTAGGCTTTAGAGATACAATAGAGAACAACATCAAGTCCTAATCTCACTAAGCTTACATTTTAATTGGGGAAGACAGAAATAGGCAAACAACAAATATGTAATATTTCAAGTGAAATACATTGTAAGCAGTAAAATAAGGCAGAGTATGGAAACAAAGAGTATCTGGGGTACTATTTTAGATAGCATGGTCAGGCTTGCCCTTGGTAGGAAATCATTTGAGTAAAGATTTGATTGAAATGAAAGGATGAACCATGGTGAATCTGGGAGGAGAATGTCCAAAGAAGAGGGGGAAATGAGGGTAAGGTATGATACCAGAGCTTGCTTGGCATGAAGAGGAGTAGCAAGGAAGCTTACAAAGCTAGAAGAAAGTGAGCAAGGTGGGGAGTGGTTGGGAAGGTCTGAGGCAACAGGAGGTTTGGTAGGTGGTAAGTGTGGCAGGTCCTAGGGACATCTGAAGGTATTGGTAAAGACTGAGTTCTATTCTAATTGAGGTAGGAAACCACTGCAAAGCTTTGAATAGGAGTATTACCTAATCTAAACCTAATTTTTAAAGAGGATCACACTGACTGCTGCATGAAAAATATTACTGCAGATAAAAGATTTTGAGGTTCTAAGGCATTTTCTAACTTTTCAACCATGAGCCCTTTGTTCAAATGAAACCTGATAGCAAGTCCCACATCTAAAACACAAAAATGCACTGACTTACTTTCAGGGAATAGTTTTAAATCATTGGGAAAATAGACTCTGTTGTTTTGTCATCCTACTGGAATATCTATAGACTCCTTGAATTGGACTATGGTCAACCCAAAGCAGCCACATGTAAGCTCGTGGATCAAGTGTTCTATATACATTTCATATTATTAATAAGGAAAATGAATGATGGCCTTTGCTTGCATAACACAGATAATTTTAAGTACTTTCACAACTATTCTGTCACTTGGAGTTTGTCCTGTGTAAGGAAAAAAATCTCAGCAAGTCAATGTCAAGACTAATTTAAAAGTGTTAATGCTGGAAGTTTATATAAATATGAGCTTTGTTACCTCTTTGATCATTCAACATGTTTTTAATTGAAAGAGATAATGTCTCCTGGGAATTTAGGCTGCATTTTTATGTCTATTTCACTTTTTATAATGAATACCATTTTAACTCACTGCATTATTTTATGTTTTATTAAAGGAAGTAGCTAGCTTGTCAGACTGGGTTGGCTGTCAGCTAATTTTAAAGTTTTCTATGCCAGCCTTTTCTTGGTACATATGGATTTCATATATAGATATAGATTTAAGGATAAAAATACCAATAAGGATAAAGTAAGGATATATTGGTATATAAATGCATATTCCAATAAGTCCTTTTATAGGATAAAATTGATTCTTATATTGGGAAAGTATATCCACACATAGTTTTTGGTTATCCAAGATGTAAATATTGAACAACTAGGTGCTAGACAATGTTAAGTACACAATTAATACTAGAGATCTCCTCCCCCAAACATTGATTTATCATTATGCAGATACAAGTTTTTAATTATTTAATTACATAAAATAATTTTCTTCCAATAACTGTATCAGAAATGCCCCTTGACTTCCATGAAAGGGTATTATAAAATGTCACTCTGAATAGATATTATGAAAAATCTACCTGCAAACATACTTCCTTTCCTGACCTAAAATCTCCCTGACTTGAGAGGATACATTAGAAGACAAATTATTGAATCACAGAATATAATAAATTTGGGGGGGAGAGCTACCTAGCAAAATAATCTGCTATAATCATGTTAAGATTGATTACCTTGTTTCTTATCTGTTATGACTACAATTAATATGACTGGACAGTAAATATACTAGATATGAATTGAAATTACTTTGGAAAAAAAAACAACAAACAAATAAGGGTTCATGTGCAAACATCATTCCTAAATAATGTAGAAATCTGAGGTTTCCTATTACTTTTTAAATCTCCCAATTAAGGGGGAAACTCATATACAGTTTTGGTATTTAAATAGTTACTTTCTCTTTGGTATTTAAATAGTTACTGCCTCCAACTAACAATTCTTCACCCTGTACCCTTTATTTCAAAGACTTGACTGGAAAATATTGCTTGTAAAACTTAAAAGTATAGCAGGAAGAAAACAAATAACAAGAAAAGATTACTGCTGTATATAATTGTAAGAGCTTGTAAGGACAATAAGCAGTGCATCTTAAGCTCAATTTTTTCATGAAGGAAAAAACATAGGCAAAAAATGTAGGCAATGATTAAAGTTCTTAAAGAGTCTATGAATACTGAAATTTCCTTTTTGGGAAATTAATTATGTGCTATAAATATTTGTCATTCTCAAATTAAAAATGAAGGCAGTTGATCAAGTTCAATGCTGTTGCCTAAATTCTTAATAAACATTGATTCATGACACAAATTGCAAAAATAAGAGCTGTTTCATCTGTAAGAGATGAACACTTAATAATAAAATATTAGGTTTATATAAACTAACATTAAAATTCTGAGGTGGCCTGCCTGAGATACAGATATAGAGATAGAGATATAGAAAGGTATATAGCTTTTTTGAACTTCATTAATTCTCTTTAATATCAGGTTTAAATAGCCTACAATAATCAAATATCTACTTTATTTAGACCCCTAATAGATGACAAAAATATATTTTATTAAGATAATTCACCAGTTCTATATTAAAGCAAAATAATCAATTGAAATAGAAACTACAAGTTAGTAACAAGAGTTTATTTTTCTTGGAGCATTCATAATAATTCTACATGTGTATGAGTAGCTAGGTCATTTACTTAATTGTATTTCTGCTGAGCCAACATTCAGAATCTAGCTGAAATGGGCAATTCTTTCCCCTAATGACCTTAACATATAAACTCTCTTCTGAGTTTTCTCTTTAATATCCCATACATAAAACAGAGTACATACATATTTCCCCATATATAGCTATTCCCAAAACTAGTAATAAATTTATAAAGAAGATAACATTTCTCAAAATTTACTAGTCTTCCGTCAATTTCAGTGTTGAGAAAACTCTGTCCGTTAATTTCTTTTTTTTTTTAATTTTTTTTTCAACGTTTATTTATTTTTGGGACAGAGAGAGACAGAGCATGAACAGGGGAGGGGCAGAGAGAGAGGGAGACACAGAATCGGAAACAGGCTCCAGGCTCTGAGCCATCAGCCCAGAGCCTGATGCGGGGCTCGAACTCACGGACCGCGAGATCGTGACCTGGCTGAAGTTGGACGCTTAACCAACTGTGCCACCCAGGCACCCTGTCCTTTGATTTCTAAGATACCTCTTGGTTTTCGTTGAATTCTCTTAACTCCTTAAATAGTTATCAAGTTCCTACTTGGCTCTGGGACTGTTCTGGGCACTGTTCTGGGCACTGTGAGTCTTCATTCTCCCATCATCTTTTTTTTTATGTTTATTTATTTTTGAGAGAGAGAGACAGAGCATGAGTGGGGAAGGGGGAGAGAGGGAGGAAGACACAGAATCCAAAGCAGGCTCCAGGCTCCGAGCTGTCAGCACAGAGCCGGATGCGGGGCTCGAACCCACAAACTGTGAGATCATGACCTGAGCTGAAGTCAGACGTGTAACCGACTGAGCCATCCGAGTGCCCCCTTCCATCATCTTTTAAGTGATTCTGTCCTTAATATTTTTCTCCCTTCACTGGACCTTCTCTTCCTAGACAATTGAACAGGAAATCTAAGTTGTCAATCTAGCTCTTTTGCTTCCCAAACTTTTCTTGGGCATCTCAGCTTCAATATCAAAACTGGAACTTATGATCTTCCCCAAATCCTGTTCTTCTCTTGTACCAGCTGGGACAGCACCAGCCAACCATTCTCCTCAATTCAACCAGCAATCTTTATTAAACATGATTTGGATTAAAATCCACTGGTATATTCACATTGTTCTTAGGACAAATCCCAAATCCTTGCCGTGGCCAGCCCATTCTTCTGCAGTCCAGCCTCTGATTCTCTCCCCAATTTCATCTTTCTCCCTTTCCTACCTCACTAACTGCAGCCACACTAGCCATTTTTTGCTTCTTTCAACATAATGATTTTAAAATAAAATGGATAATAGAAAACTAGACAAATAGCCCTACTTATGTACATGAACACACACATATACATTAAAGTTCTAAGATTAGAGTTAAAATGTATTAATATACAAACTAGATACAAATTACATATAAAAAAACTTCATTGTTGATTTTCAAACTCATGCAACTTGTCTAATGGGTTTACGTTAGGATCTCAATTGTAAAGAATTAATTTTCCAGAATGTTTTACTTAATATTAAGTTATAGATATTCAGATATGTGCTACAAGGTAGAAAAAATTCATGTAACAGACATTCTTGGAATAGTTGCAGGGTGTGAGAATAACAAATACAACAAGGACCTTTCTAGCATTGTATGGGGACAGATGGTACACTTGTGGTGAGCACAGCATAACATATAGACTTGCCAAATCATTATGTTGTATACCTGAAACTAATGTAACAGTGTGTGTCAACTATCATTCGATAAAAAGAAAAGAAAAGAAAACCATTCTAAATTCTGCTCTGCATTTTTAGGTATTCTGTTGATCGACACACAGATATGGACAGAATATTCAACATTGATTCTGGAAATGGTTCAATTTTTACGTCGAAACTTCTTGACCGAGAAACATTGCTGTGGCACAACATTACAGTAATAGCAACAGAGATCAGTAAGTCTAACCTCACAGAGCAACTGTCCCCAATTGATGGAGTGAGTGTCCCAGCAAGGGCTGATGAAGTAACGCTGAAATTAGTCACCATGTACTGATATCCTATTCGATACCTATTGAGGGAAAGAGCCCTGTAATGATTTGTAGTGATGTTTCTTCTAGGCATGTGCTCATTCATTCACAAATGCAGAGGCAACTGTGGATGTTATGTAGTTCAGAAATAATAACATGAGAATGTACCTCTCAGATGAGGTTGAATTGGTACATATGGGATTCAATTCCAAAAAGCTTTATAAATCAGAACATTACAGAAGCAGCTGAAAAAATGAACTCATGGTTAGGATTGGTGGGGAGGAGAATCAAGTATATTAAAAACTGTAGGCATTACTTAGAAATATCTCAGATATCTATCTCCTGGCTTTCTACAGAATTTCTATTTCAAAATCATTACAGAAGTAAGAGATATAAATTTTAGCTTTTCCATTGTACACCAAAGTGAGCAATCCAAACCACCAAGTAATCAATAAAATGTTTAGAGTGAATTTTATGGAAGTCACCATGAAATTAAAGGCAAAGAAAAATAATGCCAAATGAATGCTTCAAATAAAATGATTATACACAGTGAAAATTGTGTAATGTAAACACAATGTGTAGGCCTAAGTACATGAAGGAAAAAGTATTTTTAAAATAACATTTAAATGTTTAAAAATAGGCTTCTAAATTATAGCTCATTTTTTAGTTTTTGTTTTTGATTTTAAAAGTTCAAACATTTTTAGCTCAGTTGGGTATCTGGTGTGAAATATTCCCTGTCTAATGGTATATTACAGTAGTTTTCTTTGTCAACGTAACTCACGAGATTTGAAATGGCTGAAGGATATTGAATAGAATAATAAATAACCAATATGGGCAAAATGAAGCATTGCCTTGTGATAATGTTAAGAACTCTTAATTAAAAATTTGTTAGGTAGGAATACGCTCTTCAGAATTTATGTGGAGGGACTAATGCAGATACCAATGGCAGAGCATACTTAAAGTTTTAAAATTACAAAATTATTTTTTGCACTGAAAAGGACCACTTTTTATAACATCATGAAATTTTATTTTTTACTGAAGTAGTCATTTCATGCATATTTTAAGCTTTGTGCCTAATTTTTTTTTTTAAGATTTAATGTTTCTGTGATATATTTGAAAGTACTTACTAGTGATAAAGACCTTTTAAGACTTCATCTTTGGCAATTCTAACTTTGGAAGACTAATGTGGGAAACATTTTAGATGCAAAGGAACTTAAGAATCTTATTGTCTAAACTTCTTAACTATCTTTGATGCAACAGAAGCCCAGAGCTTATGTGAAACCAGCCCACTCCCATTCCAGGGCCTTGGCATTTACTGTTCCCTCCCTCTGGAGAGCTGGAAATATTCACATAGCTTAATTCTTTTTATTTGTGTCTCTGTACAAATGGCATCTCATGAGATGAGACTGAGTGTTATCCCATGCAAAGTATCACCTCCATCTCTCTCCAATCCCTTTCCCTGTTTAATTTCTCCATAGCATGTACCATTTCACAGTTTGTCTGCCCCCATTAGAATAAAACTTAGCATGCAGGATTTTTGTGATGTTCCCCATGTGTCCCAGCACCCCAACTAGTGGCTGGCACATATGAAAAATTAGATGGTCAGTAAATATTTATGAAGCGAACAAACAGATACATAAGTGAAGTGAATGAAGAGGGCTGAGTTCAGAGGTTCTAACTCCTGATTCTTAGACCAGGAATCTGTCTTCCACACTACCCCAGATACTTCACTTGTCCCTGGTTGTCAAACATGGGTGCGGCTCTCTCACTATCCTAGGTGAACGGTCTGGGCTTGGAGTCAGACAGACCCAAGTTTAAATCAAGGCTCTACTTCTCATTCATTATCTCTGTGAAGATGGACAAGTTACCTAACATATCTGTGCATCAGTTTCCTCATCTATACAATAGGGGCAAAAACTGTATTTACAGAAAAGGTTGTAAGGATTAAATAAGATAATATAGCAAAATGCCAAGCACTATGGCTAGCTCTTATTCAGCACAAAAACTAAGATGAAAACATCCTCTGGTTTCCTTGATCCCCCCCGCCCCCAGCCCCCTGGCTCTTTCTTTTGTCCAAATGTTTTCCCATCTCCCTGCTTCTTTGGCTTCCCTTAAAATCTGCCTCTCAACTGCCTTTCCTGGATAAAGTTTTTCTTTATTTTTGTGTTATTCTGGGGGTTGCTATACAGTTGCCCTATATCAACACAAGTAGCTTTATCTCCTAGGTATTTCCAGCAGGTGTATCCAACTCCAGAAGCATTCTCTTTTGTGACTAATTCTTTTTTGTGACTAAGTTGGTACACAGTGCCTTGTGGTACTCAGAGAGCCTTGGGGAATCTGTGTATGAATGAGAAAGGAGTGAGTGACTGTTGTCTAAAGGGGGTTGACAATAGACATATAAATGCCTATTCCCTTCTTTTTGGCATGTTGCAGATAATCCAAAGCAAAGCAGCCGAGTCCCTCTATATATTAAAGTTCTAGATGTCAATGACAATGCCCCGGAATTTGCTGAATTCTATGAAACCTTTGTCTGTGAAAAGGCAAAAGCAGATCAGGTGAGTTTCATAAGAAAGTAAATTAATTTAGTCAGATTAATTTAGATCTTCTAATAACTCAGACGATACACAGAGCTGAGAGCCAGGTTTGAATTAAGTATGAAGTAAATGCTAACAAAATTAATACTATAAATAAGAACAGAATGAATGTTTAACTTGCATAAGAGAACAAGCAGTTTTTAAGAACTGGAAGTTCATCATTCTCAAAGACTGATGTGGATTCAAATCAGTCCTGAGTTTTCATTAAAATAGATTAGTCACAGCTTTATTTGAAAAATCTTAATTGGTGAGCAGATACTTTTAATTACCATGTGTACAGAGAGGAAAGCAATAACTACGACATATTTTACAATTGCCTATAATTCATAGTTCCACTTACTTATATTGCCCATCTGTACAAGTAATACACATTCGTGAATGTTTTCCTGTTTTACACATTTGTCCCCACCTGAAATAGGTCTTTTCTACCAATGGTATAAAATTATGTTACAGTTTGTCGAAACAGCGGTACACTGTTAAAATACATGTTAGGGCAGGAAGTTGAAGTTTTGTTTTATGTACAAACTTTCTTTTTAGTTTTTATGCAAGTTGATGGTTTATGTATATGTCAAGACTGCATTTCTAAACAGGCTGTTGTACAGAGTGCCCAAAGTTTTTTAGTTGAAATGCTGTGGTAGATCACTGTGATATTTTATAGTTTTGTATCACTCTAGGGCAGTGTTTGCCAACCCAAGTGATTTTGCCCCCAGGCGACATTTTTTGATTGTCACAAAGAGGAGGGTGTCACTGGTATGTAGTGGGAGGAGACGAGGCTTGCTATTAAACATCCTACATACAGTGCCCAGGATAGCCCCAAAACAAAGTGTTATTTTGGGCTCTATTTCCAACCCATCATTTCCTTGCATAGAGTGGACTCACTGTAAATTTTCTAGAGACTATCGTTTTTAAATTAAAATCAGAAATCATTTAGTCAAGCAATTTACTGCAACACTGTAAGGAATGCTTTTGAGTTACCAAAACTTTATAGCAGCTTTATGGTTTTGATTTTAGTTGATTCAGACCCTACGAGCCATTGACAAAGACGACCCTTATAGTGGGCACCAATTCTCATTCTCTTTGGCCCCTGAAGCAACCAGTGGCTCAAACTTTACCATTCAAGACAACAAAGGTAAAGGAGCCCAAGTTACTTTCTCTGTCTATATATTTATATCTTTATCTCTATCTATCTACTGTCATCACAATTGTTGCAATCCATGACGTGGTATGCACGTTAACATTGACTTTGCTTTCCGGTTCCAGATAACACAGCAGGAATCTTAACTCGGAAAAATGGCTATAATAGACACGAGATGAGCACCTATCTCCTGCCTGTGGTCATTTCAGACAACGACTACCCAGTCCAAAGCAGCACTGGGACAGTAACTGTCCGGGTCTGTGCATGTGACCACCATGGGAACATGCAGTCCTGCCATGCGGAGGCCCTCGTCCACCCCACGGGACTGAGCACAGGGGCTCTCATTGCCATCCTTCTGTGCATCGTGACCCTACTAGGTAAACTGCTTCTCCCTGCATCCTATCTCCCCATGAGAGGCACACACTGTTACTGTGACACTCTAGATTTATCCGCCTCCCCCATTAAGGCATACAGCCCGCTCTAGGTGAGTAGAGTTACATGCTGAGAATCTGTGTTGTTCAACCATGAACTAGTTTTTGTTTGAACATAGCTTTGGCGAATGAACAGATATGAAACTTGCCTATGTCTTTACCTACTCAGGGAATCATTCACCAAAGAAATCTCTTGTCTGTTAGACTGGGAATGAATCCCAGGCAGGATTTGAGGGCACTATATAAATAGGCCCTTTTCATTTCATTTGTTGTTTAATATCTAACCTGGCAAACACTGTTAAAATGTAAAGAGTGAGAGTCACCCAGTATGGAGGGTGTGATGATGGCCCTTTGTATGAAGGTAAAGTTTAAAGATCAGTGGGCAAGTGGAAAGAGAAATGTGATGACTTTTTCTCTCTCAAATGGGAAATAAAGAAGTGATTAAATTTTCTTCAACCCAGCCAACTTGCTTTGATCTACCCATTTAATTACCTTCTTAGCATTGCTCCCCAAATGCCACATACACAATGTCTATTATTTCTCAGACTCTCAAAAATAAATAACTTCTATGACTGAGGAAGTAAATCTGGGACCTAAAAGAAATGAATGCAATCAAGGTGAAAATCAAGGTTTAGCAATGATTCAAAATGAAAGTTTCATCCCCAACAAATGAATTAAGCTCACAGGTTGAGCTCAAAACACTTTACAGACCGTTGCCTGTTGTGAACTAAGAAATCAAATGTTAGTTAACTCAGTCCTTCCAAAAATCAAAGCAAGCTCCCCTACACAAAGGGAAGAAAGGGAAGAAGTGTCAACCTGGGTTGTGGGTGGGGGGGGGGGGGGGGGGGGGGGGGGGGTTACTTTTTCAAAACAAAAACCTGACAATTTGGTGACTTTGAGAGAAGGAAAGAAGAAAGAGTAAAGACCTACATTTTTCCAAGAAGAGAATGCCTAGGGATCCCTGCTCAAGAACTTCACATTTCGTATCATTTTGCTAATTATAACAGTAGTCTTGAAACTTAACTACAGAGCTGTGATTCTCTTTGTCAACGAAGATTTGGGGGAAGTATTTTAAGATATGAGGATAAATAAAAGCTGACAGTATGCAAAGACAAATCAGTGTTTCTAATGGTGTGAGTCTATAACAGTTGTTTTGGAAGAGAAGGATATGAATATTCTTTTTGATTAAAAAAAGTTATTTTTAGAAGGGCTGAATTGGCAGGGCTGTACTCAGGGAGAATTCCATGGACATTTTGTGGTCTGTAGAAAGAGAGCTGACTCTCATCTCATAGAAGTGATTTCTCCTTACCTTCATCATCTACCCATTCTCTCCTCCCCACTTTTTTCCTTACCTACTCCCTCTATTCTCCCTTTTCATTTCCTTCTCCAATGAATTCACTGTCTCCTCGTTACTCCTAACTTGTTTCAGTGCTTCCTACAGCTGGTCTATTCTCTTTGGAATTCTGTACCCAATAAGACAGGAAATAAATGGGATTTAACCCTTCCTAGGCTAACACCATGGGCTATAAACTGGGCAAGAGGCTTCACAACTGTTTTTCTCATTTAACCCTCAGAACCATCTGGTATGTATTTATCTGCATCTCAAATTAGAGTACTGAGGCTCTAAGATGTGCAGTCATGTAGCCGACTCACACAGCTAACAGGTGGTGGGACAAAGTACAAAACGCCGGTCTTCTCCCCCTGAGCCTCAGGGCTTCCACATTGCTCTCTACTTTCTTTGTGAGCTCACAGAATGTAAGGTAATTTCCAGGCTGAAAGAGCCCGAACTGAAAACGAGACCATTGAAGAAGGTGGAAACAAACCTCAGGTTTTGTAAGAGAAGGGAAGCCACAACGATAGAGGAGGAAACCTACAGTCAATAAAGTGGATCATGTGGCATCTCTTATTTTATTTACAAAAATAAAACAACAGGGACACCTGGGTGGCTCAGTCGGCTAAGCTTCCTACTTCAGCTCAGGTCACGATCTCATGGTTCGTGAGTTCAAGCCCCACATTGGGCTCTCTGCTGTCAGCACAGAGCCTGCTTCGGATCCTCTGTCTGTCTGTCTGTCTCTCTCTCTCTGTACTTCTCCTGTGCTCTTGCTCTCTCTCACTCTCTCTCAAAAATAAATAAACATAAAAAATAAAAATAAAAAAATAAAACGACACTGAAAACAACTACTACATCTCGTGTCTCTGTGGTGCTTTACAGTCTGCACAACTGTTACATTTATTAACTCATTCCTGATGACAGCACTGGCCACTGTGTTAGTGCCTCTCTTTTACAGAAGGAAACACACTTAAAAAGGTGAAATCATTTAAGTGAGCCTAGGCAGGCTGATTTCAAGTGCCTTGCTACCTTCTAGCTTTATGATGGGATTTGAACACAGGTTGGTCCAAGCATTCCCCACTCAAAATCTCACCACTATCCTCTGGCCTCAGGGGATTGAGAAAAGGGAAGAGGTCAGTCACTGGGAAGAAAGCTATTACTTTCTCAGAATGTATTTTTTTTGCTCCACATGCTTAGAACTCACATCTTCAGTTTATAAAAGTTAGCTTTGAGAAAGATCTCCTTTCCAAAATTTCTGTTCAGATGTACATCGGGCTAAGAAGAAAAGTACAGGCAGTCGTAGCTGTAGGAGAATTAGGCAGTGAATGAATGCCTCTGATTCACCAAATGTGCCCTCTCTCTTCCAGGCAATCGCACTTCTGGGTGTGCATAGGACTAAAATAAAAGATACAGATAACCCAAGCCGGGGAAGAATTAGGAAGTGATAAATGCCTGCTATCTTGCCTTAAATGGTGGCACAAACCATTGTACATACAGGTTTAATTCTTTCCAAGACAGTTGTCTTGATTCTATTCTCTAACCCCAGAGGCCATCCTCAGTTACAGTCCTTTGTTTTGCAAACCCTTGTCATTGGTCACACGGGAATCTGGAAAAAAGCGTAGACTATGAGCATGCCCTGCAATTTTCCACCCTCCCGCACCTCAGGGTAAAGTGAAGATATACAGAAGCCTCCAGGCTCCACGTGACAGGCCGTGCCCTCCTCCTCTCCTCTCCTGGGCCCCCTCAGGTGCAGCCATAGCGTCTCCAGGCTGTTTCTCAAATACTCTAGGCACCTTTGCACCCCAGCCTTTCTTCCAGCTCTGTCCCCCTCACCCGACAGCTCCTCAGATAATTAATTCCCCATATCTTTGCTCAAATGTCACTCCTCTTAAACACACGGCCCCTCAATCATACACAGAAGTGCTCCTCATCCTCCTTTCTCTGATCAACTTTTTGTTTCCACTGTACATATCACCTTCTAATGATTTCCTTATTTATTAGACACATTATTTGTTTTTCAAGATCTCCATCCACCACCACAGCCACCTCTGCCCACCTCATTAGGACGGGGCTCTTGATCAATGTTTTTCATTGATAGTGTCTAGAACTATAGCTGGCACAAAGTAGGCACTACATAAATAGTTAGTAAAACGCCCTGAACGGCTGGGATGAATGAGGCAGGAGGATGCTGTCTGGCAGCAAACGACAATGTATACAGTTACACAATCGCACACTTGAAAATGGCAACACTGGATATCCTTCAGAAAAAGTCTATAATCAAAGCATGCTTTAACGCATGGTGATTAATAAGAGTGTTGGCTTTTTAGTTTGACCTGGATTTCAATTGTTTGTACATGTGACATCTCTAAACCTCAACTTCCTCTGTGTAAAATGGGGTTATAATGATGGTACTTACTTTGTAGGGCTGCTGTGACGATCAAATGAGATTCAGTATGTAAAGCACTTAGCACAGTGTTTGGCACATAGAACGCTCTCAGTAGATAACCAATTATTATTGCTATTAACACCTGAAATTTTAATATATAGACACATGCGAATGCATGTATCCATCATTCTGTGTGTAGGCATCCATATCCACCAAAAGCCATTATTCTGTAATTCTTACTACAGTAATTCAATTTTTATGACTCATAAAATCTGGACCATGTTATGGATGAGAAAATAAAAACACATTACTAGTACTTCTTGCAGTAAACAGCCCTGGACAAACCCAGTTTCACAATGCAGTTTCTGCCCTGGATGGCTGCTTTCTCTCTAAGCTGTCGCTGTGTTTTTATTTTCCCACCCATATGTCCATTTGGAGATGTGTCTGTCTACAGGTAGCCAGCTGCAAAGAAACATCAGGAGTTATTTAAACACAATTCTTGCTTTGCCTCTAATTGGAGTTCAGAGGAAAAATCAAAAGGACAAACATTCCAGGCATCACACTTAACAGAATACTAACTCTGAAAGATTTTTTTTTTAAGTTCCCTCTTAAATGTGTTTATTTTATTTAGCTCCAACAGAAATAAGCTGGTGTGTGTCTTATCACCCGCCCCCTTTCAAACCGGCTGGTGTTGAAGTCCAGAATGGCTTTCTGAATTGTATCTGGGTCTCTCCAGGTATTATCTGGAATAATATTTCTTATATGTAGAAAGGTATGCAGACATTCACATGTCTACTTTGGGTTTTAAACCAATTTTACACTTCTCTGAGGAAAAAAAGAAGAAGAAGAAGAAGAAGAAGAAGAAGAAGAAGAAGAAGAAGAAAAAGAAGGCAGAGTGCAAAAGTTATTTTAGACGTGTAGTTATGCAAACCCTTCAACACATCCCGAAGGTGCCAGCCTTGTGCTTATAAGCAGTTTCAGAGCATTTCAGGTGTTCGGCATAATTTGCACTCTGATTGCTGCGCTCTCGCTGCGTTTGAGCTTTTTTTTTTTTTTATCATTATTATTATTTTATTTTTTCCTTACCTTCAGACTAGCTCCCCGTTTCAAAGCGAAAGGGAACTACTGACAAAAATATGAAGGTGTTTTATCCTCTACTTAAATTGTAACTTTCTTTCAAATATTCTCCTCCGCTTTTGGGGGGTCCCCGGTTTGATCACGCGTGGAGGCAAGCGCGACCTTCAAGGAATAAAAGTTGAGTCTGCAGTTTCCCGGAGAAGTTTTGAAACTTCACGTTGGAGCGCAGCGCTGCTTGCTGACATTAATCTGGCGGCAAATTAACTTCCCCTTTCCTTCTGCTTTGTCTCTGCTTCCAGTGACGGTGGTGCTGTTCGCAGCTTTGAGGCGGCAGCGGAAAAAAGAGCCTTTGATCATTTCCAAAGAGGACATCAGAGACAACATTGTCAGTTACAACGACGAGGGTGGCGGAGAGGAGGACACTCAGGCCTTTGATATCGGCACCCTGAGGAACCCCGAAGCCATCGAGGACAGCAAATTACGCAGGGACATCGTGCCCGAGGCCCTTTTTCTGCCCCGACGGACTCCAGCCGCTCGAGACAACACCGACGTCCGGGATTTCATTAACCAAAGGTTGAAGGAGAACGACACGGACCCCACCGCGCCGCCCTACGACTCCTTGGCCACCTACGCCTACGAGGGCACTGGCTCGGTGGCCGAGTCGCTGAGCTCGCTGGACTCGGTGACCACGGATGGAGACCAAGACTACGACTACCTTAGCGACTGGGGCCCGCGGTTCAAAAAGCTGGCAGACATGTACGGAGGCGTGGACAGTGACAAAGACTCCTAATGCGTTGCCTTTGTCACCTCGCAGTCCGCCGCCCAAGGACCTGCAGTGGCGACGCCCGCCTCCGTGTCCACCGCTCCGCGAAGGCTTCTCGGTGGTGCCCGTTCCCGACGTCGACGGCTGCAGTCCCGGGGGGACCCAACGCGAGGGACTTTTTTCTAGTACACTTTTATGAGCTTCCAAGAGGCAAAGGTTTATTTTTTAGCGCATCCAGTTATCCATGTCGGTCAGCCCCCCAGGCCCCGTGCTGGAAGAGAGAACCAGGAGTGGTATTTTCCCTTGCTCTCCTAGGGCGGGTTGGGAACACGCTCAGTGTCACTGGCCCGGCCTCCCTACCACACTCCATTGACTCAGGTCAGCTGACTGCTCTGGCTGTACATTTCACACGCTAATGAGATGAGGGACTGTGCTTTAACGATAAAAATATAGTTTTAGTGGGAAGAAATGAGGGAGGAACAACTGTGAGGTTGGTCCGGGTATATCCGCTCGCAAGGAGATGATGGACTGTGTATATTGGGTGTGTTTTATGGGTGTGTCCCAAAGTATTTAAAATGGCATTTGCCTGTCCTATGTGTTCTTCAAGAACTTTTTCTGGCACCAGTGACTATTCAAAGCATCAAATCCACCAGTGTTTTAAGATTCTGGGTCCTCTTTAGGACTAGAAGCAAATCAAATGGTAATATTAAAAAACAACAAACAAAACATAATGATATCTCATTCCTGGCCACTAACTCATATTTTCTTTTTATATATTAAACACACAAAAGTTTGCCCTTGCACCGTATAAAGAGAAAGGGAAAATAGCTAATGATGTCAACAAAGGAAATATTTAGCATATTTAAAGCTCGGGCCACCAAATGTACTACAGATCACTTAAAATTACTTCCACCATCAGTATCAGTAAACTAATCACAAGTAAGTCTAATTGTTTCAAATTCTCAAAGAAACTTTTCTGAGACAAATTTTAACTCCTTGTCTGTAGTTGTTGTCAGTATTATTCTAATATACTTGAAAGTAGCCGTGTGAAGTACAATTCATATTCTTGATGCTTCGTACACAATTAAGTTACATTAGTAAAGGTAGATTAGAAAAACTCAAATCCTGCCCTCAGAGTTTAATGGGGACATGAGAGCCAGCCACACTTGAACCTGATAACTTGTCCTTCACATCTGGAAACATCTATATATTTATATGATGTGATATAGGTGTATTGTTGAGATCACAGTGAAAAACTACACATTACATGTTTGGAAGATGCTTATGAAGGGAAAAAATTGATTCCCTTCAACGAGAGTGTTTAAGATGGTATTAAAATGATAGTTGACATTCAAAAGCATTAATATTTTTCCATTGTTTTTAACTTCATTGCTATGGCAACCCTGCCATCCTTGTCTTTGAACCAATGATAAAGTAATGGTCTCAAACTACAACAGAAAAGTAATGTACAATCCATCCAATCTATTATTTCTCTAATTTTGCAATTAGCATCATAGTTATTATCCAGAGGACCCAACTGAACTGAACTAATCCTTTTGGCAGGTTCAAATCATTTATTTCATATGGCTGTTCTAATGATTTGTATCATTAGAATTTTACATTGTGCAGTCATCAGAAAATTCCAAAGTACTGTAATGAAAACGTTGTTTCAAAAACTTAGAAAAGAAAAAAAAAAAACCCAGGCTCTGTATATATCTATATATCTATATATCTATATATATTATGTACTTAAGAATATGCTGACTTCAATTATTAGTCTTAGGGATTTATTTTCAATTAATGTTAATTTTCTACAGATAATCTTAATGTCATTTCCATTTGGAGATACTGTCATATGAGCACATACTTTCTATTTGGAACACACTGTTGTTTAGTTAAGTTTTAAATAAGCGTGTTACCCAGGAAGTAAAGACGGCACCCTTAAAATAAGAGAAATGTAGTCTTTTGGGTTACCCAATTAGAGTGAAAAGTTTTTTAACCATATTATTCCTTGTGTTTCCTGAATGGCTTCCTATTTTGTAATGGACTTCCCTGTATACTAACAAGTATTTCATGTTTTCAGGGTTTTCTTTTGCTAGTTCTTCACACACACACACACACACACACACACACACACACAGAGGAATGCAAACAAAATACTATGGGAGGGTTTCACTGTAATGAATATCATAGTCACAGTTAAGTGTTGAAAAAGATAGCTTAGTAAAGTTAATTAGTAAGAACTAGTTATTCATAGCAATAGAATACCACCTTAATCACATGACTTACTGTAAAATTAAAGAGCTCTCTGTCCTTATGTTTCATGTCATGTAATAAATTGTATCAAGAAAGATAGTCCTGTAAAAAAGAAAGTTATCATCAGAAGTCTTCCTTTTGAACTTTTGGGTTAATTGGAATGTCTGAGGGTTGACGCTAGCAACTTCCAATGTTTAACGGTAAGGTTTATTCTCTCCTCATAAGTGAAAGTAAGTAGTTCTGTAGTGGAATGTTTGAGATGTAATTGGCAGGTATATTATCCCACCTTGAAGACGGTACAGTGAACCAAGAACAAGTGAATATGACTAAATATTGAAATAACTGCTTAATCTCTTACCATAAAACCTGATGATGAAGTGACTCTCTAAGAAATTGGATAATTTAAGACTAGAGCTGAATATTTTAGTACTAGGGTCCTGTAAGTGTTCTCTGAAAATTAATACTCTCTGATGTCATGGAAATAATGAGAGCCATACTTCCATCATTCTGTGTGTGTCTCTCTTCCTTCCCACCAGGATACCGGGTCAAGGATCCCAGTGAACATAAATGATTACTGGAGGAAAAAAAAAATTAGTTTTCAGCTCAGTTTTCAGAAAGTCTCTTTCCTGATAGTAGATGTTAGTGACAAGAAAGATGGCAGGAAAATGGGAAGAGGTAAAATTTAATATTTGCTTTGGTCACTGAGAAACTACAATTCATTCATTATAAGCAGATGACTTTTATGGATTGCTTCAAGGACATTGAGGCCCTTCTGAAAAATCTTTCCCCTCCATTCAAAGGGAAGAGTTTCTTCAAACCACTAAGATGTTCCCTAAAATAAGCTGGAATTTTTAAAATGTTAAGCTGCTGTGCATAAGTTTACAACCCCATCACTTCATGGCCACTTTCCGCTGAAAGGCCTAAACATTTGTCCCAAAATAAAAAATGAAATCAAATGGGGGAAGAGATGGTTCCATGGAATCATAAGTGAGGGATTCTAGGCACAGTGAATAAATGTTTTTTTACAGAGCTTTTTAGCCTTATAGTTCAGTTGCATAAAAGGAGTTTCAGATACAAATTGACTCCATTTTCAAATGGAACAAAACCTGGTGATTCAATTTTAACTCATTAAAAAAAAAATTGGCTTAGTGTTCATTTTCAGCTCCAAAAAGTTGTACAAAAATTTCTTAAAAGTTGAATCTCTATCTTGGAAGCATCCAAATTTTGTGAATCCAAGTTAACTTTAGAATGTTTCCATTACTTTCATTTTTAAGTACGTCAATATTAGATGTCCTGATTTGCTAAGCGAAACTTACATCAAATGCTTTGCCTTGAAATCAGTATTTCACTGAAGATAATAATACATAAACTATGAGTTAAGAATTCCTCAATTCTATAAACTTGAGGACCACAAAAGTATATAGATGAAAGGGAAGAACAGAGTTGATTCTTGGGCCCAAACTAAATATTTAAATCAGACACACCTAAATTAATTTTCCCTAGGAACCAAACCACCGAATAAATTATCTTACCCTACTCCCTAATTTTGAAGCAATATAATTACTTTGGAAGAACGCTCTAGAAAGTCATGATTCCCCACTATTTTGAAAGGCATCCTCTAAAAAGGATCATTTTAGAGTAATTTTATTCTTTATGTTTTTGTCTAGATGAAGTCTTTTTTTTGAATTGTGACAGGGCCAATGCTTGACACAGCCAAGCATTTATATTTAACACTAAAACCCAGCCTCCTTTATCAGGTTATAAGAGTAGAAAGATTAAGACTTAGTACATGGATCTTCAGGAAGATGAACTATTTTCTCAAGTCTAACAAACAACTTTCTTTTCCAGAGAATACAGAATTACAGAATGGTCTCCTTAAAAGTTCAGTGACTATTAGGTTTGCAGCATTTTTAATCTCCCTTTGGCATCTTTATGGAATAGTTTTCTAAAGGGGTAATTCTCTCTACTAAAAAATATCAGACCCTGACCGTATTCAGTGTGCAGAGGAATACCCTCTTATAAAGGAAATATGTTGACTCGCACACTTGTTAAAAGTTAATAAAGAAATAGCTCATTTTTAAAGCCAGAAGTTTATGGTCTCTGCATCGTCAATTTAATTTAAGCATTACTGAGACAATCTTTAATCTACTCCGCATTTTGTAATACCTTATTTATGATGCATTTTCATTTTTTAATTTGGGGGGAATGTTAGTCCGATAGATGAAAGTGCCAGAAGGAGGTCAAATGGAAACAAAGCCTATTACCCACTGTATTTCAGACAGGACCGAGGCACTTAGCCTGAGAGCCACCGGGTTATTAGATTAATTTCAAAAGAGCTTTTACAAGTTGCTTAATTCCATTTTTTTTTAAACCCATGGACCACAAACTCAAATTTCTCTTCAAATGGGGTTAATCTGACAAATGAGGCATGGACCCAGCGTTGTGGAAAAAGCATTCCGCTATAATGAGATCTTGGTCTTTCTTGCGAGACAGTGTTATTTATGTAAATATGTCTAGAGGCACCTTCTATAAGCTTTTAGTTTTCTATGATCTATTAGTTTAGTGTTTATTAAGGAATCAAATGTATAGAACTACTAGACATTCAGGGCGAATGCTGTATAGCAAACCAACTTGTCTGCTCGAAAGAAACATAGGAACGCTTCAAAACCACCGTATTGTTCTGTTTGTGATTATTTTCATTGCTCTGAAAGTAAACTGCCTAAGAATAGGCCTTATAATAAATACTACGTGCGTCCTCAGTAGTACCAAGC